GGGGGGAAAAAAAAAATAGATTAGAACATATCACACACAATCCAGTACCGGAGTAGCCTTCAAAACAAGCGGCGAAAAAAAGTCAAGAACACAGCACGTCAGGCAAGAAGCACAATAACATCAGAAACCCGCTAAAATGCCTGTCTTCCCGATTGCGGGCTTAGTATGGTGGTACAAGTAGGGGTATACCACCAAATACTATCGCCAGCAGGAGGGACAAGCAACCGGAAATCCCCTAACACACTCTATAATAATCACCACTCCTATGGTACCTTTGATTATCTTCATCCACAGCGACTGATACATCTGTACTTAGGGGTCATCCTCTAAAAATTCACAAATCCCAAAGCGCCTCGAGTTAATTTAGATCTCATAATTTATTTCTGTAATCATCCTCTGGTCCCTACACAAAATTAACCCATAATTCTCTCAATGCCCACAACCCCCTCACACATGACCGGAATACCTTCGGCAAACTAGCAGCAAAACAATTTCTCGCAATCCATCGCAAAACATCCAACTCGACAGAGAAATACATGTAAATGCCAATGTATGCCAATGCATGCCGATGGGGTGCCGATGGGAGTTCGCTTGCTTGTCCATTCTCTGCCAGTCCGTGCAAATCTTCGTTCGTGGGTTTTTTCATGGTGTTTTCGCGAGATGTGCGCAGAATGGCAGAGATGAGACAAAAACAATTCTCGCAGCAACACAACAAGTGGCAAGCAAACCAAACAACCTCCAATCCGACCTAAGACCAACATAAACGCGCCGATCAACCGCACGAAGAAGAAAGGAGCGAAGAGGGGACCGAAAGCAGGTTCAAAGAACGATGTAGCCAAGGCGAAGAACAGATCTGACTGGTACAAGGCCTGCCATTCCTTTCGTACAGAGTTCAAGCACATACAAGCCAAGTCGTTCCTGGCATCTTCCGCATCCGGATCCAAGTTCTCAGGAACGCAGTCGGAACAGCAGAGTTTTGGTCGTTACCTGAAGCAATACGACAGCAAGACTTTGGTTGGTAGCGACAAATCCAAGCGACATGTTGCGCCAAAGTATCCGGAGTTGGAGAAGAGGCTTGTTGCGTACATGGATCTGCGCCAACAACGAGTCAACAAGGACCATTGTGGACCTGGAAACGACAACAACCGAAGCCGAACTGGCTGTCCTTGATGATGAGGAGCCTGAACCGATGGACGTTGACCCGGAACCTGCCGATGTGTTTGCCTCATTTGCCGAAGCTGAAGAGGCGCTCAATAAGCTGTCCGAAAGTGCCTCCAGCTTGGGTATCAACCAAGCTGCTACTGTGCATCTTGATAGGTTTGCCAGAGCCTTGAATATGGCCAGGGCGACAAGGGCTGGCAAACGCAAACGTGATGGCACTCTCCACTCGTTCTTTACTAGTGGTTAGTAGCAGTAACGCTCTATATTTAGACACACTGTTATATTTACTGGATTCCTGAATCCCCCCCTGTATATATATCTGAATGTTGACTGTACTCCAAGGCTAGAAAGCACACTCCCCCTCATTTTTCTTTGGTTCCTCGACCACAACACCACAACCTCCCTCAATTGTCGCTCTCTGATCCTAGTACTAGTAGTGCCATTAGATAATCCTTGCTGACTATGAAGACTCGCGATGGCAAGCATTCAAACCCAAGAACCAGCTGGTTGTGGAATGTGCTCTGGGTATTCGGATTCGTCGTCATGGCCCTGCAACTCAGGGTCATTCTGCTAACGGCCAAGTCTCCCTCGGCAACGGAACAAGAGAAAAAGATGGTGGTCGTGCCTGCCAGTACAAAGCGAGAGCAAAGCGTTGACGTTCAACAAAAAACACGAAACGCCACTGCGACGGTAGCCTACGCCATATCCTTGATCAAATGTGGGGACAAGCAGAGTAACGACGCTGGTTTGGTCGATGCAGCTCTCGTCATGCGACACTCCATTCACAGGATATCGATACGCAATCAACAGCAGAGTGGTATTAATAGTCGCTACGATTATCGCGTGTACGCACTGGTCCATCGACAAGCAGAGCCATGCAGTCATGTACTCAAAAAAGCAGGATTTGAAATTGTGGTCAAGGATCCTCCAATATACCCACAGGAAATCAAGGGAGAGTATCTCCGAGACCATATTGAGTCGGAATGGTGTTGTGGGAGTGCAGAGTTGATCAAACTATATGCGACAACACTGCCAGAACCGATTGTAGTTCATACGGACATTGATTTTCTGTTTCTCAAACCAATGGACGATCTATTTGATGCCATTCTGTTTCCGAAGGATTCTGTTCGGGGTCAGAGGGCCAGAGCCAACATTCCTCGAGAACGACCAGAAGAGCCATTGCCAGATGTCATTGATGCATTCATCACGAGAGATTGGCCTCAAGTGATACCAGGAAGAAAAGCGCTCTATCAAGCTGGATTTCTAGTAGCACGTCGCAATCCTCAAATGGTGGAAGAAACCATCAATGTCGTCCGAGAAGGCAACTTTAGTGGGGGGTACAATTTGAAAAATGGGTGGGGTGATGCGGGGTATGGTAAGGATCCTTGAGATGCCTCCAGTGAGCAGCAAAATCACCTCGCCTCTGACGTTACATGTACTACTTGGATTCGATTTGATCTGTTCCATTCGAAGGGGGGTTCGTTGGAGCTATGGCGATGCAGGTAAGCTGTGCCGGGCTCACCGAAGAACCATTGTTATAAACACGCATGCCCAACGTCTAATTTTGCTCCTCTTTTGTAGGGATTGCTAGCCTACTATTACGACATTGTGAAGCCCAACGTGGCTGTGGAACTCAATCAGTGCAGGTAAGAGTGATTGTTTTATCTCGTGACGTTTTGGAATCGGAGCTGTCTGATACTAGTGCTGCAACTTCCTCATAATGCAGGTTCAATCATATGTGAGTTCCGTTTTCAATACTGGTCCTATTGCTCGCAGAAGTGATCTTCACCTAATTATGGCATGGCGGCTGTACTCGTTAAGGGGGATGGATGTACGATATCGACACCCGCCAAACTTTATTTCAAGAAAGAAACGAAAGATTGGGAGATGCCGCAACAACAGAGAGTTCTGCGAAGACTGCATGATAACCAATGTAAGCTCGATCTACAATGTTCATTTTACACAATGTGAGTTTTCCGAGATGTTGAATGAGAATGAAGCAAATAAATCAAAATGAGCCACTGACAGTCATTCGTTCGTTTGCTCTCCATCCAGGCAGAAAACCGTGGAATTGCATTGGAGTTGGCCATGGCGGCGGTCGTATCCCGGGGCAAAAGCCTGCTAGTGCTATAGATACTAATGCTGGGAACTTTGGTACGTTGAGTCATCCTTGGGATGTTTCTTTCGAAGCCACGCCTCTCACAACATCATGCATGCAAAACATCACACCACCAGACCATTGCATGGAGCTTGTCACACGATGGCACCTTATTCGTGCGGACCTTGAACGCGAGATTGAAATCTTTACAGGAGACTCTTCGGTCTACGGTGGGGCAATGGGGCAGCACAAGAAGCATATCTTTCAAGGGCACTGCACTGGAGAGGGCGGGGGCAACTATACTCGAATCCACGGCATCCCAGGTGAAGAGTTGTATATTTAGGTATGGTGCTATTCAGAACTTTGTCGTTCACTTTTGCGCTCGGTCTATGATAGTGCTTGTCATTTGCACGGATCGGCACCGCGAAATACATCCGCTTAAAATCGGGATGATCTGTTTCAATTCGATCCCATAGGGCAGCTCTGATACCAGAATGAAGGGCTTCCACACTGCAATTTTTTGCTCGTTCGAACACACACCCTAGCTTCTGTCACTTTCTAGATCAGATAAGAGTCTTCAAATTGTCGAGTTTGCTTTCGAGAGCGGTCTCTGTTGATGATTCTTTAACCCCCGTGAATGTTCCCTGCCTCGGTACGGTAATGCTTGAAGTACTCTCCCTACATGCAGATCCAATTGTTGTTTATAAAAGAGCGCTGCTTTCGTTTTGTAGCGCATCAGAGTCACATTTTCTGAATTGATGACCTTTCCTGGTTTGTCATGAGCAGTGTTCTCGCAAAGAGCGTGTCTTGTGAAAAATGTTCGCAATTGACCGTTTCCCCCTTCCAACATTGTAAGCACATCTTGCAATGACCAATCATCCATGGTAACAGACCTCACACAAGAGACCTTTCGAGGGAGACAATGAAGGCTTAGTTTCGATCAAAGAGATAACGCTTCCCGATTCTTCTTCAAAAAGCCAAGCTCACCTGCACTCCCAGCGATCGATGCATACCGCTACATTTAAGACAGAGCAGCGCTCCATAGGTCACAGTGGCCCATTGTGGATTGTTGGCTCCGCAGTCAATACATCGATTGTTTCCTTCAATGTTCATCAGTAGAGCGTGGCAAGCTGGAGGGAAAGAATGATAGGTGGGGCCATTGGCCTTGAGACCGTCTAGTTCCACGCTGGCCAATTCCAAAACATTGGAGGGGCAATTATTCTCCTGTCCCACTGCTGAAGGAGGCATGGTGTGTTGGGTTGATGCCAAAACAAAGTAAAGTAGTGACTCGTGAAGTCAAATTTGTTGGGGAAAACTCAATGGTATACCGGTATCCCGCAAATTGTTGCCTTTGACGTATGTCTTCTTAATAAAATTCGAGCGGTGAAGGCAGGAGCGTAGGGGAAGACACCGAACAGCTATTGCAGCGCCTACACGAGAGAGCAGTGACTTGAGCTTGAAACGACGGTAAAGCAAAGAAGTGAGAAGCGAGAAAAACGTGGCAGAAAGATGACGGAGGTTCAGCCGATACCCAAAACAGGTTTCAGTTACACCCCAACATTTCGACGCTTGCCTCGAGCCCCTCCAAACCACAAGAAGATCAACTTACACTGTTGCCAAGCCAGTAGCTATCAGGTTGTGCATTTGTCGTTTTTGTTGCACGGGCTGTCAAGATTCGATTCTTTGGTCTGTTCACGCAAAAGAAGAGACAAGCAACAAAATGGCATCGTCGTTGCTGCCATTGTTCGCTCACACAAGGGCAAAAATACCTAAATCGACGGCTACCGTAGCCAAAATTACGTCACTTAAAGATTTATGGTTCTGATACCCAAATTTTTGGGCCTCTTTGCATTGCAGACCACATCTATCACAGCTTGTAGTCTAGCTATGGATAGCAGCCCCCGAAGTACAGGAGAGCCTACTCTAGAGTACTTGAAGCTCAGATGAGATGCTAGTACATGTAGTATACAGTTGCTCCAGAGAGCTGTCAGCCACTTATGACTTTGCAGTTTGCAACACAGCCACAGTTGCACATTTTCAGAGCTGCCAGTACGGTTGGGCTTCTGGTTATCTATCGGTACAGCTAGTAGTTGCTAACCACCTACGAGTATGAAGTTGAGCTGTCAGACACTTTATCGATACGGAAGAGCTACCATGCTTTAGTGCACCGGTGCAGTCCAGCTACCCTACTGGCTATCTACTACGGTAGCTGGCAGGCAGAAAGACAATCGCAGTGCCATTTGCTCGCCACTTTTTGTTATCTAGCTATTCATCGGGATAGTCCACTCGATGATACCATCTTGGCATATCTGCCCCAGTAATCCTGTAGTCATAGAACACTTCTTCCTCTTGCACATCTCTTCTTGCCAAAAGACCCAGACTGTGCATCTCAATGACATATCGATCAAATGTCCGGTTGATCCATGTAGGAGGCACCGCGTAGGTATTGGGGACATAACGATACAAATCTCCCAGTTGCATTCCCTCTATGAAATTCAGCATGGCCGATTGGCAGTTAGGGAGCGATCCTGGCGGAGGGTGATTGACCACATGTCCCAAAGCAAACGGATTGGAGTTGGGTCTGGTCAAAACAGTGTATGGCGACCGTCTCGAATCCACAATAAAGTTGTCGTATCTCATGGATAGCTGTAGATTATCATTGTTCTGGAAATGATCCTCCACGTCCGGTCGTACCGATCCCAGTGGCCAGACAGGTCCTGGTTGGACGGCAATCAGCGACCCTGACATGGCAATTCCATCGACAAAGACTCCTCTTCCCGCATTAGGGATAAGAGACTTGAGTGCCAGCACCGAGTAGCCTAGTTCTTTTCGTAGCATGGCGGCTCGATACAGATTGACGGTTTGGTATTGTCGAACGGCAATAAAGGTTTCTTCGTCTGCCGTGGATACTCGAAATCCGAAATCGTCCATTTCACTATCAAAATCGGTTGGATATGTGGAAGCCCAATCGGCCCCATTGCTGCTGGCCCCTTCGTTCCAGCTGTGAAAATCCAAGATGGATGTGAGAGCTCCTAGTTTTCGTTCTAGAAAGGCAATGGATCGGGAGAGTTTGAGGGAGAGAGCTTCGTTGGAGGAAGAATTGTCAAACACCGTTCGAAGGTTTTCCAGTCGCGTGGCTGTTTCTTCATGATCTTCCTTTAACACTGCTCGGTAGTCATTGTAATCATGATCACTCATCACAGTTCCAGCACTCTCATCTTCGACGAACAATTCTGGGTTCATTTGACTGTCCACATGATCAAAACTGTGCAACAAATCCACTACTTGTGGACCCAGCAAATCTTGCAGTTCCAATCGGAGTACGGCATTGCTCATATCATCCAACCCCTTGGCTTCCAGTTCTTGGTACGCCGCGTCAAAGGCTTGTCGGTATTCCCATTCTGGATTGTCGAGTCGAATTTCTCGTAGTTTTGTCACCAAAAGCAGATAGTAGAGATCTTTTCGTTCTTGGGCTTTCAGTGCGCCTCCGCCTGCTTCATCTAAAGCATCTTTGTCCCAAATGGACCTCCACACGCGTTTCAATATGGATGGTGGTGACGACGCTGGAGACGATTCATCGCCCGTTGTGAGGGTCCCCAATTGACGAGACAGACGCAAATAAGTTGGGTGTCTCGACCCACAGATCCTACTCCAAGTTTTGATGGACCTGGTGGTACGAGCGAGAAATAATTGCTTCATTGAGGATCGAATGGGGTTGTTCGTACAGGCACGCAATGGCTTTTTTTAAATAGCGACGTGTAGTAGCTATAGAGACCGCTGGAAAGGATTGCTTCCATCAACTCTCCAAAAACCAAACTGAGGGAGTGACAGTCCAATGGAGCAATGGAGGGAGCGTCGAGCGTCGACGGCCGCAGAAGAAGATATCATCGTAAAAAGATAGCTAGGTCGCACACTTGGTGAAACATTTAAACCGGCAGAGCCGTAAAATAACTGTGTGATACTGTACCGAACGATGCACCAACCATGATCCCTCGTGGACACAGCCTTTCTGCTGACTCGACTCGACTCATTCTTTCTCACGGACAAGAAAACTCACATCGGAAATCTAATCTTGAAATTCGCCGTCAGCGTTCTTTGCTGGTCCCTTTCCATGTCATACGATGTCCTTCCCATCGATCCCGATCTTTGTATTCTAATCAACGCTATACTATGCCCTAGAAAATATACTCTGGATTGATGACAACAAAGTGTCAAGAATTCATCATCCAACCAGTTCCACAGCCCAACCCCAGGTTCCAATACAGAGAAAGAAGAATTTCAGCATCAGCTTTGGGATTTCCGTTGAATAGAATCATCCACCCATGCCATTACAGCGTACTGGTACACTGTACTGTACCCAGTCGAGAAGTCTAGCTAGCTAGACTTACCGTTGACGGGTGCCCTGGTTGCTTGTTGACCTTGACGAATGGATTCATGAGCGAGTGGATGTCAGGAACCTCTGAGCCCACTCATCAACACCTTCATGCTAGATAGGTGCGCAGTCAAGAGCAAACCAAAACGATTCCTGTCATCGCAGAATTGAGTTGCTATGCTTGAAATACTGACGAAGTCCCGTCCCAGCCAGCATTATTAGGGTGTTGCATCACGAGCAGAGTACTACCAGTAGTACCTCTTCCTGTCCCTCCTGCTGGGTTTTCATGAGCACCTAAAGCCACAGTAAACTCAGCATTGGGTCAGTCCCACCCTCCCTCTTTCCAACCTGATAGGCTGCTGGGGAGGTATGCATATAGACTGCATACCTTGGTAGCATGCGAACGAATGTTGTGGTACCGGTATCCCGTATACCTCTTTCGCAGAGTGGCCACGTAGTAGGGTGGCAGCTGCACCAGTCCCTCTTGCTTCTTGCTATCTTTAAACACGTGGAGACGTGGAGCTATCGAGACGTCAGCACTGTCATCACAGTTTTACAACACCTTATTACGAGTCCCTTCACTGTGTTAAGTGTTTAGCGATGCTGCTAGCTATAGCTAGCTAGTAGTCTAGTACCTTATTGCTCTTGCATTCTCCTCATAACTGCCCTCAAACTGCAGTGGTGCCTTCGAGAAACTTCTGTTCAGTTTTCAAGCCAACCAAGTCCTCTGAGGTGGCATAAAATTGGCGGTTGCTTGTCCCAGTTGAATTTAAGAGCCACCAAGATAGCCACAAAGAGAAAGAAAAAAGAGCCTGCATCTTCCATAGATGAAGTTGTGGATCTCTCTCGCCTCTTTCTTGACCTCATTATTCCGCTCGACTACTACTTTTAGTTAGGCAGTTGACAATTAATCAACTCGAAGCATTTGTCCCTGTTCTTGTCGAAGAATCTCCCTCCAACAAAAATGGATTTTGTAGCGACAGTTCTTGGGCTACAATTGCCGACCCTGAGTGCGAGGGATTGCCTCCACAAGCAAAGTCGCAATTGCTCGTTGCGGGTTGGTCTAGTACCGGCGAAAGAAGAAAAGATCGTGTGGGGATATGACGACGACATGCTTGAGGTGCCGGATAAGGCCGAATGTGACGATGAAACGGCCAGCACTCTTTCCGAGTGCGAGTCCTTCACATCTTCTTCCGGATCATTGACTTCTTGTGTTACATTTGCCACCCCTTTAGTTACAGCAACATATTTGCGACCTGTAACAGACAAGCGAGAGAAAGAGGTGCTCTACTACCAAGACGCTGACTACAGACAATTTCGCATGGAGTACAGGCAGAGCCTGATGCGCAGACGGCCTTCAGTAACCTTCTCTAGCAATGTCGTGTCCCAAATACACAAGCTCCCAGCAGTGGAGAACAAAGATGAGGTATACTACTCATCTGCAGAGCTCAAACGGTAAGTTGCCAGCAAGTATTGTTTCCTCCCGTCAATCAATGTGAACTTGACTGCTCACATTCTAGCTGCTTTTCGATGACAGATTCCTGGAAGAGTTTATCATCTCTCTGGATCAGAAGCAAAGTTGTTAAGGGGTTTCCAACGAAAGGGCAAATATCACACTCACACACTGCCGCACCCCACTGCTCTTGCAAGTCGAGGCAATAACACGGTATTCCGCCGCTTGCTTGCAGTCAGTACATATTCATATTACTCATACACAAACACATACACGCAACCTTGTTGTATACATTCGCTTCACCAAACATTCGCTTTACTGCGTGGTGGATGAACCGAAGGCATGTACATTTTACTTTCATCACAGAAGCAAGGATTCCGAGTGGGTCGAGGAGCCTCACTTTTAAGCCGCTCTACTGGCCTCGTTCCCTTCTGGTCCCCATGCACTCAACCTCTGTTGTACGATGGGCTACGAACTACTAATGTTACTTTAGAAAAGCTATTTTCCTATGTTGTTGTCCTGAATGTAGCTACCGTACTGGTATTCTAGACAACAACATGATTGAGCACATGATCAAATCTCAAAGAAGCAGGAAATACGAATGGGATCTGTAGCGTGGCTGGTCCTTCACTGGTTGCGATAGCAGACTGTAGTTGCTAGCAAGGAGAGAAAGGGGCACCAAGTAGCCAATCCAGGAGGAGAAAAAAGGTAAATAGAATCCTTTTGCAGCAGGTTGTTTGTCACCCCCACAGAAACAGCCGACGGCCGGCTACCAGGTGCTGTGGCTGCATGGTAGGCAGCTATGGTTTCGTCTTGGCTGAAGAAATGGACTGCTCAGCAGAGGGCACATCTTGGAAGTTCTGTGGTGTCAATCTGCAAACTAGTACTAGGATTTAGGTAGCCAAGTAACTGGTAAGTCAAATCGACTGCTAGAAAAAGAAATCTACTGCAGACCGGTGCTTCCAGTGATGCTGCTACACAGTCAAACGACGCGATCCCAGTCCACACCTTCATCTTCATCATCATTGTTGCTGTTTTGGTTGTTGCCATTTTGCTTGTTTTGACTGTCGGCATGGTTGTTGTTGCTTCCAAGAGCCCTGAATTGGTCATGGACTCTCTTCATTTCCTTCTCAATATCCTGGAACTCCAGTTTGGTTGGCATGTTCCAGTCTGTCTGCCTCTTGCCAGTGATGCGCCAATCCGCTCTTGCCAATCCAAACGCCCCAGTGTCATGCCAGTGGAAGAAACAAGAGGAGTCATCACCATCTTGTGGATATTTGTGAAGAGCCTTGTCGCAGAGTGAGCAGTACTGGTATGTGAGCTTGCCGCAGAAAATTTACAGGCGAGTTTCTTCTTGCCAGTTCCCATCTTTTGAGTAGCTTGATAGTGTTGCGTCAATGGTTTGATGAATCCACAAAGTCGGCTTGCCGACTCATCTTGGAGCGTGTTGACACCAATACCGGAACTGGTTGTGAACTCACTATCATCATGTCGATAGTGTCGTGGAGTTCTGCTTGGCGATTCTGAGCGAGGACACTTTGCCTTTGGCACCATGGTGCACTCGCGAAACTTGTCATCTCCTAAATAATGGTGATTGGTCGGTGAATAAGTCACATCTGCTTCGCTAACTTGTCCCGAAAGCGATAGAAGTCCACGGGCTTCTCTTGTCGCCACTCCTGGTCAAGCTTTCCTTCTCAGAGCTCTTGATAAACATCATACGCAACAACAACAGCCATCGCCTTCGCATGCGTCATCGGAGAATGCCAGTATTTCCAAGACCTGTAACACAAGAGAAAATGATGTGTGGGTAGACGATTAACAATGAGCGATGGTAGATAATGATGTGGGCAAACCTGTAAGAGAGCGATGCAACAGTTTTGGATAAGATGATCGAACCTGTCAATGCCTCCGTACATGCGAAGATACAAGTCTCTTGCTTCGTTCATCTGGATACCCCATCACCTTTTCAATTTTCCTCTTCCACGCTCTTTGGTGGTGGCATACAATTCGCAGCTGTTGATGGCATTGGCACTTGTGAAATTGCATGATGATGTGGACTGGAATGAAGTGTGTTGGATGAGAGCATCACCATGTTTTTTACAGCAAAGATTGGACTCCATCTTGAACCAAAGATCCGTCCCACCGTACAAGCTCTGGAATGGTGACTGCATGGAATCGGTGGCCATATCCGCAGCCCAATCCAAGCTCAGCCACAGCGTAAGAGTTATTACTGTTTCTCGGCACTTCCAAATAGTAAGATATTCTTGGATCCACTGTGAGTCTTTTTGACATATGGCGGTTAGGCACCTGGTAAGGTCAGGGGTTCAATTCGATGGTTTTGGACCGTTTTTGCATTTTTTTTTTGGAGTTTGCCTTGAGTATCAGATTAGATATATGGAGTTTAAAAGTCCTTAATGCTTAGAATGAATAATCATTTGTTGGTTGTTGAAGGATGTTTTGGGTCCGCCGCTACCAATTATCATGGTACCATCCACATTCATGGAGCTAAATTGCTGGTCTATTAGGAAATAAATACTAGAAATTAAATACAGTACAGTAAAAAAACTAGTTTATGGCTGTTATTAATGTTTCTGATTGGTGGCGAAATATTCAAAAGGCTTCATGGTTCTGGAATGGTGCAATTTCAATCACAGTCCTTCCGGTACAAGTATCAGCGTTGTCTCGCAACTTCAAAGCTACCAACTTGACCACCTGGAAATCATCGTAGTAGAGAATACCATTGCAGGAGTCCAAAACAAACTTGCATAGATTGTCGATGTCGGGCCTAATGAGGGCCGCTGAGAATAAGTCATGGAAACATGCCTTCAATGCACTGGCATTGCGGATTGCTCTAACAAAATCACTGTTGGGACGCTTCAGATAGAACTTAATAGTCATTGATACTGCTTCCTCTTTACCAAAAATGGGATCATTTCTTGCCTCAGGGGAACGCAGAATGCACATACATAATTAATTATAGTCGTGGGTATATTTTCGAAAATTTAAATTGTGTCGTGCTTTACTTTAAACCTTTGACGGTTACGTGTGCGAGATGCGCGCAAGTGCGGTTTTGATTAGGAGCTGGTTTGGAGCTGGTTGGAAGTTTTAGGAGCCGGTTTCAATCGGCTCCTAAATTTAGGAGCTGATTCACGAATCAGCTCCTAACCGCAAGAGCTTTTTAAGAGCTGGTTAAGAGCTGATTTGGAGCTCGTTTGGAGCTCGTTAGGAGCTCATGATTGATCCTGGACTGCCACTCGCGACAGATCTTTTTGGGCTTCCCAAGAGATCTAACAGCATTCAAGTAAGCAACAAGCCAAACGATTGAATACACATACGAGAGTTAGAGTCGGAGCAGCAAACAGCAATCAAGAAGCAACAACAACCACAACCACAACCACAACGACTATCGATCAAGCAAGGAAAAATGGCGGATGATAGTAGCGACGATGATATCGACCCAGATTTGCAGATCGTGACGCCCGAGGAAATGCTAGAACATGGAATGAAGCTAATCGGTTGGAAGGAAAAGCAGCTGAAGAGAAAATCCAAGAAGAGATGGAGGAAATGGTGTTATCTTTTCGCGGCTGATTTTCGAGCCAAGCCACACGTTGTTTGCCAAATGTGGGAAGATTTGCAGTCTACAGAATTGACGGAAGCCTATCTTCAGCCCCTGGAGCGGAACCTTGACCAATTCCTGTATGCTCTCCATTTCCTGAAAGCTTATCCTACAGAGAAACAGCGTCAGAATAAATGGCACATCAGTGACCGAGTTTTGAGAGATACCGGTTGGTTCTATCTTACGAAGTTGGCTGCTATGAAGGCAATCAAAATAGTCTGGCTAGATGTTGGTGATGACATCTGGTGTGGGTCAGTTGATGGAACACATATCAAATCCTGGGAACCAACACACGACAAATATCCCAAGAATCCGTCAGCATTTTCATGGAAGCACCACTCCGCTGGTTTCAATTGTGAGGTGGCTCTCTCATTGAAAGAGAGCAAAATTGTTTGGATTAATGGCCCTTTTGAAGCAGGCACAAACGATATTTCAATGTTTACAGCTGAGGGGGGGCTGTGCGAGAGGCTACATGCAACTGGAAAGAAGGTTATTGCAGATAATGGATACAGAGGTCATGATGATGTTATAAGTCGACCCAACTAACTTGATGCGGCGGATGTGTCAAAGTTTAAGAACCGTGCTCGATGCCGGCACGAAGCTGTTAATGGCATGATCAAGCACTTCAAGAGTACTGATTCTGCTGGATTTCGACACGGAATAGAAAAGTTTGCCATCTGCTTTGATGCAGCGGCTGTTGTTACCCAATATAGAATGGAATTAGGGGAGCCACTCTTTGAGGTGTAGACGACTAGTTTTTAAAATAAGCGAGAGTAGTCGACGGCCACTTGGACCAAATGTTTTGCTTGTTATTTCAGATCGATGTCATCAGCAATACTAGCTCACCACTCACATTGGCCTTGGATCATCGTAATCGAAGAGCTCTTCATCATCATTGTATTTGGAGAGCTCTTCTTCGTCTTCGAAACCATCAGGGAGTGGTGCAGTCAATGGATCATTCGCAAGAGCATCATGGCGTGCCTGTACGTCCTCTTTGAATTCTTGCGTAATGCCATCAATCATCTCATCCATATCAGCATCCGCGGGCGCCCTTGCTTTTGCAACTGCTGCTTGTCGAGCGCGATTTTGTCGATCCGAAAGTTGGTTCTTTCTTCCGCTGCCATCCACAGTCGGTTTGAATTTAGCTTTTCGCATATCCTCCGTGTCGTTATCGGTAGTATTCTTCTTGGCAAAGATAGAGCCCGCTGCTTTCACTGCGGCTTTCGCTTGGCCCACCAATCCAGATCCATGTGGTAGCAGTGGTTGCGACGGAGCCACAGGCAACAACGGATAACCACCCGTACCCAATCCGGCAGCAGCAGCTGCTAAACTGCTAGAAGAAGCAGCAGCTGTTGTTATGGTTGTAGTTGTTGCCGTCGACGTCCCAGAAGATAGCGTTACAGAACCTAAATCATTGACAAGAGCTACAACCATTTATTTTAAAGTTAGACGCAAGAGCCACTTGAAAAGAGCAACAAGCTATCTGCCTACAAACCTGCAAAAGCATCCTCTGTGGCTTTTGTCCCACGGCCCGATTGCCCCCTCATATCAACAGCTTTGGCAAGGTCTACAAACTTCCAAGTCATGCGACAGTGGAGACCATAGATCTCTTGCGAGTGCGCGTCTTTACGTCCTATTCCCTTCTTGTAAATAATCATGTTTGGCACGGCGGTCAACATGTAGGAAGAGTCATTGGATACTGTTCCGGTCCTGAAGGGAGCCTCGTGCACTCGCTGAGACGCACATCATTTGGAAAACGAAGTACAAACTTCTGCTTTCGATCTTCCTGGCTCAGCTTCTCGAAGGCAGTTCGAAAAGCTTTGTGACCCTTCCTGATCACATCTTGGGACTGTCGCGCATCATACTCAGCTTGGTCGTGTCGGAAACCAGCAGGGAGGATAGGCTTTGTGAGCACCGCTTCATTGGTACCTTCAAAGTACTGGAGTGCATAGAGTTCTTCCTGAATGTCACGAGAGTCAACGAGCAGCTCCAATTGAATGCCTCCTTTCCATTGGGTCTCTTCTTTTTCAAATTCCATCATATTTATCACAAAGATTCTGTCACCCTGATCGCCAGGGTAGGAGGGATCGATCTCTACAACGCGATCTGAAACAGACAAGCAGGCAATAAGATGTGAGTGGCTAGTGGCACAAAAAATGAGAAGCAAAAAAGAGCTACCTTGATTTGTTGTTGCCATGATTCTATCTGCTTGTTGCACTTGATTGCTTGACTTGGGGGTGCTGCTTCTAGCTCGGGGTTTCTTTTGAGTTTCCTCCTCGTTTATCGACAGCTGAGAAAATTGGGAAAGATCCAATGAAACGTCGTCGGCCGCCTGTGTTGAAATAGTAGTCGGAGGTGTGTCCTTTTTCTTGGGTGGTGCTGTCTCCTTGGTCTCCTTCTTGGTCTCCTTCTTGGTCTCCTTCTTGGTCTCCTTCTTGGTCTCCTTCTTTTGCGTCTCCTTCTTCTCCGTCTCCTTCTTTGACCGTCCTGAAGCTTTCTGTTTCTTGCGATTCTTTGCAGGTTGTACTTTCAAAACTATCAAGCGCTCCAAGTACTTTGCTTCCTGAGCACTCTTCCACTTTGTCACCTTTTGAGAGATGCGCCTCCGTAGATCTGATCCCAGCTCTCCGTAACAATCTGGCTGCTCCAACACGTAGGTTCTCTGGTTGCACAATTTGCGAAGACCTTGTGTTTTGCCTTTGTCAAAGTTGTACAGCCCACCAGCCTCTTCAATGTCTTCGGCTAGCTGCTTTTCGGTCCAATATGGAAGCTGATTTCTTGTTGAGGCAGTACCAGTGCTCCCACCACTTGTAAATGATGCGACAGAGTCACCGTCGTCACCCCCACCTCGCCTTTTACCCTTTCCAGAAGGAGAGCCAAAGGATGGAGAGCCAAAGGAAGCTGCGTCGTCCTCTTCTCTTGAAGATTTGCGACTTGAACGGAGCTTTCGATCGGCCATTGTGACTCTATCTGAGCCGCTTTGACAAATCTGAGTGTGGAAAGGTTTTGAATCGCTTACTCTCTAGCGTTCTATCATACAAATAGCAAAAAAACAATAAATCTATTAGTCTTGGTATGCTGGGATGAGATCCCGTCAGCTCGATCTTTTGCACTTGCAGTTGGCGCCAAATAGGTCAAGTAAACCGGTAAGAACTAGATCTCGGAAAGAGTTGATCACTAATCGAATCTAAGCCATGGCAGCAATTCCAATTGTAGCTCCTCCAGCAGCAGGAGAGGTCTCATCAGATGATGAAGAAGCAAAGAAGGATGTTGCTTGGGCGAAACATCCTGCTAGAGCTGTTCTGAAAGCAGGGTTTGAAAGCGGAATAATTCCTTTGAATTACAGCAAAACAATCAAGCCAAGAGGAGTTTATGAGCTATTTGAAGATGATGCCGCCTTTCAAGGAATGCCTTACAACACGAAATTCACCAACCGTTTGCGGAGCCTAAGGAATCAAATGAATAGCAGAGTCAAACGACAACAGGAAGATGAAGATGCTTTCAAAATGTTTCGCAAAAACACACCGAAACAAACCCACAATTCAAAAGGAGAGCCCAGATGGGAGGGGTCTGATGCAGATCTGTCATTGAAATTGGATATCCAAGAGGGCCGGCATGTAGGGGTGAAACCACAGCAGCTTCACGAGACAAGGGCCGAGTATCAAGTCTTTGATTTGAAAGTTTTTCGAGGCCACATCAACCAAGAGCTACGATTACGAAAGCTACACAACTACTTAGAGGACAAAGACAAAGCAAAGAAGAAGAAGAAGGCTCTAAATAGTGATTCTAGTAGTAACGACAGCAGCAGCAGCAGTGTTAGCGTTTGGATCGATACATAGACAGCCTGCAGGCTTATAGCTAAGGTGGCTCACCGCCATTCAATAATAGACTCACTCTTTAAAACCAGCACAATGGCGCTTCTCGCTTATTAGGTCATTGAGCCCAACTACAATTACACAACCAATCCTTCCTCTACTACTAACAGCATCGACAGGAGCTTCCATAGCTAACGGCGGCGCTTCCACCGGTGGCCTGCAGCCGGAGAACGACGCTGTTGAAGCACGTCAATTGCTGCTTCCACGCTGGATCGCCGAAAACTTCGACAATGAAGATTCCAACTCCGGAGTCTAGCGCTTCAGTCGGCGACCTGCTACAGCTCGACCATGACGATGCAACCCCAACCGAAGCAGTCAACCCGTTCGACGCCTTCGCCTTCGCCTTCGATCCTTTCTCGGTGAACAACAACAACAACAACAACAACGCCGACCATGGCGCTCTTGTTACTGCCGAGGCGACCGTCGCTACCGCTCTCACGCCTACCGTCGCTACCAACAGCGATCAGCAACGACACCGGCAGCAAGCGTGGCAACAACAGCAACACCGCAGCAGCCCTTCGACTTTTTCGAACAACAACAACAACAAAATTTCCAAACTCACTCGCTCGACCATGGCGCTCCTGTTGCCGACGACGGCCGACTCCACGGCCCTACCGCTACCGCTTCAGCCACAACCCCTGTCACTACGAGGGTGTTTCCTGCTGCTACCAACAGCAAACAGCAACAACCGCAGCAGTCAACCGACGTTTTCGAACAACAAAATTTTGAAACCCAAGTGCTCGACCATGGCGCTCCTGTTGCCGACGACGGCCGACTCCTACGTCCCACGGCTACCACAGCGTGGTCGTGGCAGCACCCAATCGACACCAACCCACAACAGCTAGCAGACCTCTTCACGAGGCCTTTGCCACCTCCAAGTCTCAACGACTTCATCTCCCATGGCAACAACAGCACTGTTGCCGCCACACAGTGGCCATCCGGCACCAGCCAAGCTACTGACTTCAACCGAAGTCACCAAGCTCCACCACTCCACCAAAAGCTCAACCCATTCGAGCTCCACACTTCTGTGCAAGCTGCACAGCCAGCTACACTCCCATCCTCTCCTAGCTTGGCCACCAACAGCAACCCAATTCAGGGTGTCCAGCAGCTCCAACAGCAACCCATTCCAGGGTCGCTTCTAGAAGGCCCCCACACAGTCCAGTCTAGCTCTCCCAGCTCCACTGACAACTCCCACTGACTACACTCCCAGCACGCTAGCCAACAGGCTGGCCAGTCTCATGGGGGGTAGCTCAGCAGATTCAAGGCCCTGGCACAGCTCTCCTGTCCAGCAGCCCACCATCAGCAGCCACACCAGCTCCAGCACCAGTACAACCCCCGTTTCAGAGTATCCACGGTGCGCGCCTACAGTTCTCCCAGTGCACGCGAGCGGGTTTCCACGATGCGCGCCTGCAGCCTCCTTCTGCACGCGTGTCCAGCACCAACACCAGCTCGGTTCCCACCGTTGCTGCCAGTATCGAAGCCCAACGACTCGCAATGTCAGCCAAGATCCGAGCACTGAGCTGAACTGGAGGCCACCACGGCACTGGTTCCATCCCAACGCACGAACCGGTTGACAGCATTGAAGCCAGGCGGCTCGAGCTGGTCCGCCAGCTCGAGCCTGACCAACTGACTCCAGTCTCCCGTCGTCTCGTCTTCAGGACCCCAGCTCCAGCACCCATTCGTGGGGTCCCGGGCTACCGTGGTCCCGCTGGTGTCTCCTCTTCCGGCCCAGGCGGTCCTGGAGGTTCAGTTCCCGGCCCTGGTGGTCCCGTCCCGGCCCTGGTGGTTCCTGTGCCGCCCCTGGGGTTCTGGTTTCCCCTTGTGGTCCGTT